TGTCAAGACGAGGGCAAGTTGCGAAGGGCTGAACTCGTGACGAGAGAGTTAGAGAGTCTGTTTAGGGAGGAGAGAGAGATTATCCAGGCGTGGAGATCAGACTTTTTGGAGAAGGCAAAGGCTAGAAGCGTATCACGCGAGGAAACTAGTAAGCGATCTGCAGAGAGCGAGACAACGGAAGACAAAGTAACACAGGGGAGTAGCAACAGGACATGAGCGGGACTGCACTACACACGACGGATCGGTACTCATTACATGTGGTAGGGAGACTGGACGGACCATTAGTGTTAGTGATCATAGAACTCCAGCTCCATACYWKAYTGTGCATAGTTGAGGAGGCAGAGTGTTTCCGCCGTGCCCTGCGTGAAGCAAGGGGGACAGAACTTTGGATTGGAATAGAAGGAGGACGGAGGATAAAATACGTACTCCGAGTAACACCCTTCGAAGGGCGGTCTCGGATAAGGGCATGGTACGAGACGACCAGAGAGGCTGAGAGGTTGAAGATAAGCGAAGCCAGGAGTTAGGGAGGGTTGTAACAGATGGTGCAATACTCAGGGTGTTAGCCGCTCACAACAGCTACTGGAAAGAAACGATAAAGACTTTAGAGGCGATAGACGAAGGAGGAGATAATGAGGACTTTGAGACATTTTATGACATATTGGAGCGGTCGGCGATCAGGTTACAAATCGTTATAGCACTAACTCACCTCAGCTGTTAGACAGATGACCTCGTAACCGTTGAGGAGATAAGGTAGTGGAAATAGAAATTGGAAGCTCTTGGAAGAATAGAGGAAGCTAGAGAGGTCGATGGGTGACTTTGGATGGCAATATGAGGGCCTTTAGCGGGCTAACCGATTCAGACAGGGCTAGGAGAACTAGCAAGGAGGACGGAGAAAGACGCTCGGGGACTTTTGAGGAGTGTTGATCAGGAGATATTGGCTAGGTTTGGGATTGCAATTTGTCTCAAGGATAGAGGTCCTGTCACGGGCGTACTGTGGATCTAGACAGGCACGACCTTGTTAACCGATCCCGAAGGAGAGGTTACTTAGACACAGAGATTCTTGGGATAGAGAGAGAACACGAGATCTGCGACCGGTACGGGATACTGGAGGTGGTAATCAAGGCAGTCGAGAGTTAAGATTGGAGGCGGACGCGAGTCGTGATAAAGAAACAGGTCCGGGCTGCCGCGACTGTCACAGGTCCGGGCTGCAGCGACTGTCATAGGGTCGGGCTGTAAC